ACACAATCGATAACCTTCGAAATCTAACGTTGCGATATAATTTCGAAGGTTTTCGAATTAATATAATTACTGATGAAATGGTAATATAAATGGGAAAGGTAGAATAGAAATGGGAGAAATAGATGAAAAATAATTCACGGATTGGATGTGAATTATATCTGGATCATATCACTAGTTTGTTATACTGTATTTTTTGATTAATTATCACTATCACAGTTATATAATGATAATTTCTCAAAAGACAAATGCCATTTATAATAATAATAAAAAATATATACATGCCACCCAAATTATTTTTGGCCCTCCAAATATTTGGAATATGAAAATTATTTGAGAGAAAAAAAAAACTATTTTAATTGGAGCAACATATATATTCGAGTTTAAAATAAACTCGAATATATATGCGTTTTAAACTCCTTTTTCAAAAAAAAAAAATAAGCTCGAATATATATTCGCATATATATTCGAGCTTATTTTTTTGAGCACATATATATTCGAGCTTATTTTTTCGAACGTATATATATTCGAGTCTATTTTTTGAGCACATATATATTCGAGTCTATTTTCTAGATTTTGAGCTTTATTTAAGGTAACTTTGAATTTAATATGTATAGTCTTGAGCTTTATTTTAAAGTAACCCCGAGTTAACCTATGTAGTCATGAGTTTTATTTAAAGTAAATCGAAATCAATACTATGTAGTCTTGAACTTTATTTAAGTTAAATCAGAATCAATACTACATAGTCTTGAGCTTTATTTGAAGGTAATTTGAGTTTAACATGTGTACTTGAGCTTTATTTTAAAGTAACCCCAAGCTAATCTATGTAGTCTTGAGCTTTATTTTAAAATAATCCCGAGTTAATCCATGTAGTCATAAGCTTTATTTAAAGTAAATCAGAATCAATACTACATAGTCTTGAGCTTTATTTAAGTTAAATTGGAATCTATACCACATAGTCTTGAGCTTTATTTGAAGGTAACTTGAGTTTAACATGTATAGTCTTGAGCTTTATTTTAAAGTAACCCCAAGCTAACTTATGTAGTCATAAGCTTTATTTAAGGTAAATCAGAATCTATACCACATAGTCTTGAGCTTTATTTGAAGGTAACTTGAGTTTAACTGTGTAGTCTTGAGCTTTATTTTAAAATAACCCCAAGTTAACCTATGTAGTCATGAGCTTTATTTAAGGTAAATTGAAATCTATACTACATAGTCTTAAACCTTAATTTTGATTCTACAGTTGTAGTCTTGAGCTTTATTTAAAATTATACTGTGGCACAAAATTTTTACTTAGTTTTATTATATTTGTATTTTTTTATTTATTATTTTTATTAGTTTTATTATTATTTCTTTATTTGTATTTGTTTATTTAAGATTGTTATACTAATTAGGGAGATAAGTATCTTCGATGAGTATCTAGTTAGTGAAACCTTTGGTAACATGAGATGAATATTCCTGATGATTACTTGAGATGATCACCTCTAGATATTTACCTCCGGTAATCATCTCCTGTCACGAAAGAATGATTAAGAGTGTTTGATTACGCGAGAGTAATTGAGGCACAGTAGCCTGAAATTATTATAAATATAGGACCTTTCTCTCCTTGAGAAAGGGAGTTCAGATAGAGTTCAGTTAGAAATTCAGATATATTTCAGATAATTCCTTTAGATAGTTTTATTTTTCTTTATTTTATATTTTATTTTATCTTTTTATTTTGTTCAGAGACAATAGTAATTATATAGAGTATATAATTTGAGTCTCGTGTTATTTTATTTTTATATTATTAATAAAACCACATATTTTATCTTTCCCTTTTGTTATTATTTGATATTATACTATTCCCTGCACTGAGCAAAGTCAAAAATTAACTTGGTGCGATACACCCTATACTTGCTAATAAAGAACTCACGTATCAAGATTATTATATAAATTGTGAAATTCTTGAAATTATAAACTCATATAGAACTTCTTAAAGACTTAGTAAATAAACTATACCTTCTAATTACATCGACAGATTGCGCATAACAATAATTTGGGATTTGGAATTTGGGATTTCGGCATTTGGAATTTCGGCATTTGGACTTTGAATTTGGGTGGTAGGTATATGGAATGTGAATTTTAAATTTAGAAAAACTTATGAATTAACTTATTGATAAATTTAAGTAATGAATTTTGCTATTTAAATTAGTGAATTAATTAATTTGATAAATTATACCTTAATATTTTTATAATATTTCATATTTTTTATTTTTTTATTTTTTATTTTTTTATTTTTTATTTTTTATTTTTTATTTTTTATACCTTAATATCTTTATAATATTTCATATTTTTATTTTTTTTTTATTTTTTATTTTTTTATTTTTTTTTTATTTTTTATTTTATTTATTATTTATTATTTTATTTTATTTCTTATTTATTATTTTTTTTTATTTATTATTTTATTTTTATTAGAAAATATATTATAGATTCATTAAAATAGGTATTAAAATAAAAATATATTTAATGAAAAATATTTGTTTTTATAAAGTGAAAAATAGAATGGTGTGTTTATTTATTGTTATTAAATTATTTCTCCAAGGTTTTTTTTTGTGATGGTGAAATTTTTGATAAAAAGGAAGTTGAAATAATTCTTTGTGATAAGGATAAGGATTTATTTGTATTTTTCAACTTTGTACTTTTATTTTATAACCTTTCTTTTTATTTTGATTATAAAATTTTCACAGTAAGGTCATAAGAAGTGAATTCATAATGTCAAAATTTTTTTTGAAATTTTTGTTACAATTTTAATTGCAAATATCTTCTTTTGAAGAATAAATTTCAATATTGTGAGTATTATGAGTATTTTGAACATGGAATTTATTAATTGTATTAATGACAACTATTTTTAATTCTTTAAATTTTTATTATTACAAAAAAATTTGTTCAAGTTAATTCTTAAACATTTTTTTAATTTTTCAATTTAATTATTATTTTATTTTTAAATAATCAATTAATAATTAACTAATAATACTATATACAATACACAATACATAATACAAGAACATGAACTTATTATAGCGTTTTAGAAAATCTAATAAGTTAAATAATAATAACAATAATAATACCATTTAGTAAGTATTATTATTATAAAATTGATTAGAAGTTATGGTGGAACTAGAGGAGGTGTTTGTAAAACAACAGGTTGTAAATTAATAGTAAACTTTTTTTTTAATATCCCTTAAAAAATTTTATTTGTTGAAGGGATAAACACATGATATGATTCATTTAAAAAAATTTAAAACATGTTAGAGAATACAGGTGAAGCTAAATGAGATTCTAAAGTAATCATTAAACTCCCATAGACACGAAGGTGATATAATTAATTATTTTTTTTAATGAACCTCCTCTTTATTTTCATTTCCAAATAGCAAATGTATACAGTTATTTAATAAATTATTCACAGTGTGAGATGCTTTTATCCAATTGGTAAATACTGGATATACAAAAATAAAAGTATAGTATAAGGAAAGATTTTTAAAAAAAATTTAGTACGTGATTGATCACCAAATGCTTTAATTATTTGATATTTGGAATAATTATTATTTTTGTTAAAAATATTTTAACATAAAAAAAAACAAAGATAAATATTATAGAATTTTTTTTTTAAAAAAATAATTTTTATTTTTTTTGATCTATTTAACACATCAAGATAACCATAAACTTTATTATTTTTTTTCATGTTTATATAATGATGACATTTTATTAGTATTATTATTTAAAATTGTGTAAATTTTAATTTTTCAATTCCACAGTAATACAAATGAAGCGAATTCTCTTATAGCAATTCAAAATATTGAAGCTTTAGAAGAAAAAAAAACAATTCTGATTTACTTATTATTTACTTATCCCTGATATATATGATTGATACCTGGTTTGAAAATTAAATTAAATTTGATTATAACAATAATGATGACGATAATAGTGATGAGGTAAAAAATAATAAAGTATATTATAAAATTTATGGAATAAGATCTTATTATTGAATATTTCAATTCAAAGATAATTTTTTTTAAAGCAATTAATGATTAATTATATTTAATTATCAAAAATTATTTATTTATTTCGACAGCATTTATACTTATAATTATATATTTTCTTAGAAAAATAATGAAGATAGATGTAAGTATTAAATTATTGACTTATTTGTTTTTTAATGTGTATGGATTTTTATAATATTTAGTAGGTTGCCTAACCTTGTATTCAGTTATATGATAAAATCTATTGAAATTCAATCAATAAGGTAGTTCTATTTTTAAGTCCTTATTCTACGAGAGATTGGTATTAAATTATTTGTATTATTAAATTAATTGGTATTCGTAGGTATTCAAGCAAAAAAAAGTTGTTTTATCTCTTTTTAAATGGTTAAAATTTTACAAAATGAATCACATCACAATTATTTTTGAATTTGTATCCTTAAAAGATAACAAAGCAAATAACCACAACATGAAAGGTAAATATATTTGCACTTAATTTGATTAATATTAAATCTATAAATCTATTATCAAAAAAAAATGAATTCTTCAAAATTATTAGATACTAGGAGTTGTGAGAGTTCTTATCAGTTCTGATTAGTTTGTGCAAAAAATTTTTTGCTTGATTTTTTATAAACATTTTATTTTAAACTAGAATATCTCCACGAATATCAATGCTATTTGGGTGAAATACATATAATTTTGAAGTCAAAAACAAGGTATTTCTTTATATCTTAGAAATATCTTAGTAAAAAATCACTCCACGCTTCACAAATCATGAGCAAAGTTGTAAAATGTAAAAAAGAGTAGAAATCTCAAGATTTTTTCTATGTTTTTTTAAATTTGCTTATTATTTGTGAACTATAGATAATTTTTCTACTAAGGTACAGTAGGGGACAGTGAAAATCATCAACTTTTAAGAGTCTTCTAAAAAAGGTAATAACTTAAGTTATAATGGTGATACAAAAAAATTCGTCAGTAAAATCGTTAATCAAAGGTTAATCTACATTTTTAATGAGGGAGTTTTTATTTTATTATATCTAACCCAAGTTATTATGAATCAAAATTTAATAAATTTATATATGATTTATGAAAATTGGTCATAGTTTTTTTTGATAGAAATCATGCCTCGTGTCAGCAAAAAAACAAAATCTGCATGCACAAATATTAAAAGTTTATCTTGCTCAACTAAAAACTGTGGCCATAGTTAATTTAGATGCTTCTTCAGAAGAAGAATCTAGATCAGACCTTGAAAATGAGTTTTTTAGTTTTGGCATATCAGATTTAGATAATAAAAATACTGCACTTGAACTTTTTAAAGAATTGTTCAATAATGAAATTAGACAAATAAAAAAAAAAAGATTTTATTATACTACACAAAAAGAAGAAAAAATAATAACTTTGTAAAGCAGCTATTAGAACAGCACAAATTTCTAAATTTTTTATTCCAGGAAATCAACAAGAAACTAATTCTTCCATATTATCACAAAATAAACAATCTAATAAAAATCAAGAAAATATTTTAGAAAATATTTCTAGTAGTTAAAAGGTTTGTTATTGCTCAGTACTTTCTTATTTTCATCTATTATTATCAGATGAAAAAAAGATGAATACAAGTTTAGTGATTGCCAGAATTCATAAAAGAGATAAATATCATGCATGCTGTTACCTCTACTTTTATTTTTATATTTATTAATTATTTATTTATATATTTTATTATCATATTTATTCATATCTGTATTATTTTATTA